ATTTTTATTAAAAAGATTCTTATAAAACATGGCTACCAGGAAAAGTGAAAAACATGAAAAGCTATTCCTATGAATGAATACACTAATGCACCACATAATGATCATCGATGGACCGCATATATGACAGTGGTCCCATAAGATTATAATACTGTTTTTTTAATTGTACCTTTTCTGTGTTTAGGTATGTTTAAATACACAAATACCATTGTGTTACAAGTGCTTCAAGTTTTCAGTACAGTAATATGCTGTACAGGTTTGTAGCCTAGGAGCAATAGGCTATACCATATAGGCTAGGTGTGTAGTAGACCAGTGGTCCCTGACCTTTTTTGGCACTAGGTACTGGTTTCATAAAAGGCAATTTTTCCATGTGCTGGGTGTGGAATGGAGCTCGGGTGGTGATGTGCAGCCCGTTTTCTAACAGGCTATGGACCAGTACTGGGCCGAGGCTCAGGATTGGACACTGCAGTAGTAGTAGACTATATACCATCTAGGTTTGCGGAAGTACACTTTATTATGTTCATACAGTGACCAAATCACCTAATGATTCATTTCTCAGAACATACCACTGTTGTTAAGCAGTGCATGACTGTAGTTATCAGAATTTTTTGGATCTCCTAAAGCCGAGCTTCTCAAACTGTATGTTGGTATGTGACTTTTTTCCCTCTGTGTTGAGGATGTATACTTTTGTAAAATAGAGTAACAATGTTGTGGTTTCTTAAGCTCTCTCTCCATTCCTTACTTACCTTTTTATGGACTGGTAATAAATAGTTCATGGGCTTGCTAGTCCTTAGGTTAAAGAATATTCCAGCAGTACTTTGATAAAGGAAAATAAGTTACGGTGACTTAAATCGATGTTTAAAATAAAGACCATCGCTTCTCTGCCTTTTGGCAAAGATCAAGTGTAAAATAACGACCACAGTTCAGTTCAGTGTATATGTATGTACTGTGTAAGGTGTTGGGATATGACAGTGAATAAATCACAGGCCTTGCTCCTTAGCAGTACACAGTTTTGGGGTTATAAATGCATACAAAGATAATTTCAATACAGTATGCAAAATGGGGCTTCCTCCAGGCACTAAAAATGTTACAGAGAAGGTTCATCTCTCCTGGCTTGGCTTAGGGAGAGGAAGAAGACTGAGGATTCCTAAAAGAGGTGGTGTGAATTGAGTCCAGGAAGATAAATGTTTTATGAGTATGTGTTTATGAAACAGTATGCAAAAAATAAGAGTATTTTCTGTAAAAGAGTAATAGGTAACATTGTTTTAACTACATGTGTGTTCTATTTAATAATTTCTTATGTTATTCAGACTGGTGATTGGACATGGTTGAAAGAGTTTTATCAAAGACTAATTGATCAGAAGTGGCAGAGGAAGAAAAAGAGCAAAGAGCACTGGTA